GGTAATGTAGTAATGTGTTGCTGGATGTCAGAGATGTTCGCAAATCTTTGTCTCTTCACGGAGTTTTTCAGTTTTTGGAAACAGTATAAAATCACGGGGGTGTCTGGGCTAAATTAATTAAATAAGATGGATTTTCGTAATTGATTTCTTAGCTAGGGACTTGCGAAATTTTAGCATGCTGACAGTGTCATGATGGAGAATGATCATCCATTTGTAATTAAATGCTGATTTTAAATTAATTTTGATATATTAGAAAAATGGGGAAGGGCAGAGATGACTGCCTTGCCTTGGTTGGCAACCTGTCTACTTAAAGGAAAACATTGAATGCAGATTGCTTATGCATGTAGCCAACAATTCCACTCCGTAAAACTACTTCCTATGGAAATCACAGGGCAACAACTAGTGTGGTAAGGCTGTGGACCTTTGTGTTGAAGCTCTGTCCCTTTACTACCCAGGTGAGTCTAATGGTACTCGGGAGGAGGAGGTAATTATTTGACTTTTTATTTTAATAAAAAAAACTTTATCTGACGAGTACATCGATCATTCGTCCTGGGTATGACGATAAACTACATCCGCATCCTGAGTAAGACGATAAAACAAGGCCTCTGATCAGCAGGTTTTGAAAAAAAAATGTTGCCAGCTGTACGTTTTTCAAAAAATAATATTACCAGCTATAAGTTTCGCTTTTTTTTTTTTTTTTGAAAGAGTACTGTTGCCGGCTATACGTTTTTGAAAAAATAATATTACCAGCTATAGGTTATTGAAAACAAAAAATATTACCAGTTATACGTTTCTGAAAAAAAATACCAGCTATACGTTTTTGAAAAAAAATATTAACAGCTATACGTTTTTGAAAAAATAACATTACCAGCTATATATTTTTGAAAAAATAATATTACCAGCTATATGTTTGTAAAAACAAAATATATTACCGGCTATACGTTTTTGAAAAAAATTACCAGCTATACGTTTTTGAAAAAATAATATTACCAGCTATACATTATTTGTGAAAAAAAAAATACCAGCTATACGTTTTTGAAAAAAAAATATTACCAGCTATACGTTTTTGAAAAAATATTACGAACTATACATTTTTGAGGAAAGAATATTAACAGGAATAGATTTTTGACAAAAGAAAAATATTACCAGGAAAAAAGAAAGTTGTCGGCCTTAAATGACCCACTGAGGTTGATATGCCGTAAAACAAACAAAAAAAAACAAACAAAACATCGGTCATAAGCCTACATCTTTTGATATGAAACGACAATATTTTTAATATAAAGCGTAATATACTTGTAATCAACGTGTATATGTAAGAGACGTTTGAGAGTGTTATAAATACGCTAACATATTTATAAAGTTATTTAATGATTTAGTTAACTTGATTTTTTTTTCTTTGCTTTTCTTTTTTTAAACTTTGAATACCACTAATTAAGAAGACTTAGATAATTTTTAAGGCCTCTTTTAAATTTCTCGGTGTTACAGAAGCAAAGAAATTAGGTATGCGATGATCTGAAATGTGAGTTCACCTTTCAAAGTATTTTTGTAATTTCATTAAAAATGAAGGCATCAAGATCTTACATTAAAAACTACTTAATGAAATAGCATTACTTTCGAACAAGAATATTGATTTTCTTACGCTGTTACATAAGGAGTTATCAAATCCCACACGTCTATACAGACACTGATGATGAGAGAGCCTGTTGAGCATTGATTCTGGTCATCAACACCTTGCCACTCTCCATTCTTTCCTAATACTTCTGTCTCCCTTTCTCCCTATCTCTTTCTATCTCTCTATCTCTTTCTCACACATATACACTCACATACTCAAACTAAAGTTAGTTGTTTTCAAAGCATTGCGTATAGACGTAAAATTGCATTAGCAAAATGTATATAATGACAACAGTACGCAGGTGTGGGTTTCAAGAAAGCTTTATTCAACTGAGAATACAAGGTTCGCGTATAGTGTCCTTTTATAGTCCTAGTAAACAGAAATAGCTCTCTCAAAAAGAGTAACAAAACAAAGGGAGACCACTCTTGATTATTCATAAAAATGAATTTTCTAAAATGACGATTCTTCTTCTCCGTTTTGTCTCCTTTCAGGACGTTGGCGGTCATGGATCTCCACATTTTTCTGCCGTCCTAGGTATGACGATAAAGTACATCCGCCTCCAGAGTAACATGATAGAATACATTCAACAGCAAGGCCCCTGATCAGGAGGTCTTGAGGAGTGTGAAACCACCACTTGATTGCTAATGTTCCCAGGTTCTCTTAGACCCGGGGTGGTAGCACCTGTTAGGGTTACAACCTTTGGTAAATAGTTAAACCCAAACTGGGGTCAGAACTCTATGAAACTTCAAAAATAGGTTTTATTACCAGGAATACATTTTTGAAGAAAATAAATATTACCAGCAATATATGAAGAAAAAATGTTTTACCAGCAATACATTTTAGAAAGGAAAAATATTACGTGCAATACATTTTTAAAGGAAACAAATACTAGCAGCAATACATTTTTAAAGGAAAAAATACTAGCAGCAAAACATTATTACTAGCAATACATTTTTGAAGAAAATATATTACAAGTAATATAATTCTGGAAAAATATTACCAGCAATAAAAAATCTTATAACCCATTTTTGAACGAAACAAAAAACCCAATTACAAGATAAGATAAATTTGACAGAAAAATATTACCAGCAATAAAAATCTTGTCGGCATTAAATAACCCATTGAGGTTGATAGGCCGTGAAACGAAACAAACCAACCCAATATATAGTGAGATCAATAGCTAGATAAATAGATAGACAGATAAAAAAAATATTACCATCAATAAAAACCTTGTCGGCATTAAATAACCCATTGATCTTGATATGCCGTTAAACAAAATAAACCAAACCAATCTAAACCAAAGAATACATATTCTATTCATACGAACCTATCCTAAAAAATCTTTTCGTTATTAAATGACCCATTGAGGTTGATATACCGTAAAACAAAACAAACCAACCCAATATATAGTGAGATAAATAGCTAGATAAATAGACAGACAGATAGAAAATATTACCAGCAATAAAAATTTTGTGCGTATTAAACGACCCATTGAGGTGTCGATATGCCGTAAATCAAAAAAATCAAACCAATTTTCTGTACTTTGTAAGTAATAATAAATTTTGTCTTTTTGTTATCTCCCCTAAACCTTGTCCCATCATCCATTTACGCTATTGTTTTCTTCTGGTCCCCTTGCCTTCAATCTGTCCTGTGAGTATCAAATTTTCCAAGCTCTCTTTCCTTATTATGTGGGAATTCCAAATGTCTCTTCTTGTTTTTAAATATAAGCATCCTATTTTATTTCCAATTTCACTAAAATTCCGTCGTTCGGTCCATATATTCTCAGCATCCTACTGTAGAACCACATTTCTATTGATCAAGTTTCTTCTTTATTTGTGATGAAATTTTCCCGCATTCATTATCATATAGGAGGACAGATATTACATAAGTGTTCAGTACTATTTTCTTTGTTTCTAATTTGTTTCTCGTCTAAATCCTCGAGGTTTTTAAATTTCTAATTTCAGGAAACTATAATCTTCTGAGTGAATGGGAATTATAACGCCTTGTGTACGCTTTTATTAGTTCTTTTTGTGATACATTAAAGAAATTGCCTCTTGTGCGCACTTAATGGATGGCTTGGTTTGAGCGAAATTACATCAATAATTAAAAAGCCTAATTCATAGAAGAAAGATTATTTTTCACTCCAATCTAATTCATTGTTACTTCCGAGATATAAATAAATCATATACATTTTTTTTTAAATAATGGCTTCTTTTTTTTATTATCTGTAAATGGTTGTGACTTTTTCTGAAAGATGATGAAGGGTTTTCCTTTTTTCTTTCTTACTTTTATTTTTTATTCAGACTTGTTATTCTCCTAGACTGGCTACCAAATAAGACAAGATGGATCAGTCTGACTTAATCTTCAGGGGTTAAAATATCTACTGATAGATGGTCTCAGATGAGATTGAAAGTACTTGGGGAAAAAGATGGTTTCCGATGAGATTGAAAGTTCCTGGAAAAAAAAAAATTATTTCAAAGAAAATTGTATTTTTACCAATTTTCTACAGCAACAAACATTAATTCGTGTCTATATATATATATATATATATATATATATATATATATATATATATATATATATATATGGTTAAGTTATGAAGAACTTGGCAATCCGTATGGGTAATCCCAAGGAGGATGAAATTCTGAGAGCTCAATGTAAATCCAGAGCTAATATTTAAAAAAAACAGACTACTTTAAGATATATATATATATATATATATATATATATATATATATATATATATATATAAACGTTCACAGTATTAATTCAAAAGAGGGTTCAATGCCCATTGTAGAGCAATAATTACTTATTATAATTTTTTCATATAGACATAAACAATTTACTCACTACAAAGATGCAACTTCGTTTCGGTGCATTTAGTTGCACATCGACTGGTGAGAATCAAAATGGTGAGATCCAAAATGGCTGACCATTTTGGTTCTAAAAACTGAATGCACTGAAACGAAGTTGCATCTTTGCCGTGGGTAAATTGTTTTTGTCTTTATGAAATAATTATAATAAATTATATATATATATATATATATATATATATATATATATATATATATATATATATATATATGACTGTCTATTTATCTCCGTATCTTTATGTCTATGTAAATTTATCAGTATCTATCTATGACAGTCTGATAATATTTCTTTGTGTATCACAATTTGTTCATATTTATACCTATCTATTCAGTCACTTCATATATATAGCTCGTTAAATTTGTTCATATCTGTCTATGCATTTGTCTGAATCTGTACATATCTATCAATCTTTTACAATCTGCTCACATCTATCTATCATTGCATTTATCGATCTATCTCAATTTGTCCATCTCCTATCTATCTATTTATCTATCTGGCATTCAATCTATCTCAGTCTGTTAATGTCCTACTCATCTCTCTCTATCTATCTATCTATCTATCTATCTATCTATCTATCTATCTATCTATCTGTTTCATTTGTTCATTATCTGTTTCATTCTATTCATTAATCTATCTATATATCTATCTCATTTTATTCATCATCTATTTATATCATTCTTTTCATTCGCCATTTCATGTTCATTATCTATCTCAGTCTGGTCATTATCTATCTATCTATCTATCTATCTATCTATCTATCTATCTATCTATCTATCTATCTCATTCTGTTCATCTCCTATCTATCTATCTATCTATCTATCTATCTATCTATCTATCTGGCATTCAATCTATCTATCTCAGTCTGTTAATCTCCTACTCATCTATCTATCTATCTATCTATCTATCTATCTATCTATCTATCTATCTATCTATCTATCTCATTTGTTCATTATCTGTTTTATTCTATTCATTAATCTATCTATCTATCTATCTATCTATCTATCTATCTATCTCAGTGTGTTCATTATCTATCTATCTATCTATCTATCTATCTATCTATCTATCTCAGTCTGTTCATTATCTATCTATCTATCTATCTATCTCTAGTCTGTTCATTATTATCTATCTATCTATCTATCTATCTATCTATCTATCTATCTCATTCTGTTCATCTCTATCTATCTCATCTATCTATCTCATCTATCTATCTATCTATCTATCTATCTATCTATCATTCAATCTATCTATCTCAGTCTATTAATTTCATTCATCATTATCTGTTTCATTCTATCATTAATCTATCTATCTATCTATCTATCTCATTGTGTTCATTATCTAACTCGCACGTTTCATAAAGTTCACTCTGTAAAACACAAAAAAATGACGAGGGGAAGCAAATAAGATGGACTGCTAAATGTTAAGGTTAGCTATGAAAACCCATTGAATTCGGCCAAGAGAATTACTTAGCTGAGCTTCAAGATTCCACCATCGCAGTCGAAGTATTTTCCTACGTTATATTCATGTTTCGGCATAGTTATGTAAATGTCTAGTTCATTAAAATTTGCTCCCTACTTACTATAATCCTGATAGAAAGCTTGCAAATTTATTTCATGTGGACGAGAAATGTTATAACATTTTAATTTGTTCTGTCAAAAGAAAACAGTCATACTGGAAATGTACCTCTAAACATTTCTGTTCTGCACACGCCATAATGCAATCGGCTAATGGAAAATAATGTAATTAAATCTTTGTTAATCTAGTCTCGCCATATTATATTTGCAAACCCAAAATTAGTTTTTTCAATATGCTTCTTTCATCTCTCCGGATTTACCGTTCCATTGTCGCTTTACAACCTCATTAACATTCGTCACTTTTAACCAAATTTCGACGATGTGTCAAATTTTTCCAAGCTTTCCGAGACAAACAGGTTATATTCAGCATTATGATAAAATCTTTTCCAAAGTTTCGATTAAATTATTCTTCAATTGAATAAAAGGCAAACTTACTTTTAATCACACTATGTGCGCATGTGCACGAGAATTGTTTGTCGCAATTGTTAGCGAATCGCTAAATTGCTCAGAGTACCAAAACTTATGTCGTCTGCCGATGTTCTTCGAGGAAATCAGACAGTCCGATCGCGTCACTCAAACGAATACGTTGTGACAATAGCCCAGAGTCAGAATGCTAGCCTGATTTAATTGTAGGAAAATAAAAGAAATTTCTTGCGGAACTTTCTTCCACTGCGAATGGGAACAGGTACAAAGAAATAATAATCAGTTAAACACACAATCAACGTCACATGGAAACAAGAAAAGATTGTGTTGCAAGAATAAACGGAAAAGATGGTCAAGAGAAAGAAGCGTTCAAATACCAACTGGGAGATATTTAGTTGCATATTTATAAATACATACTTGCATGCATTTCTTTATTTCACCATTAGTACACAGGGGGCTAAAACACACACATACATATATATATATATATATATATATATATATATATATATATATATATATATATATATATATATTTTGATATTCCTCAAGGTGAGAACATTACAAAACAGTTATTTTGTGTCGATTAATTTTACTGGTCAACTTTACAAATTAGAATAATCATTCTCAGATCCCCCCCCCAAAAAAAAACTTCAAAAATTGTTCATTTTGGAAGAAAAGTACAAGAAATATGGTCTTTCGACTTTCTCAAGTCATCATCAGGGTAGGTAGAGACATATGGTGATTTTCAAATAACGAATGAGGATTGTGGCGTAAGCAAAGAGTGTCTTGATGTAAGCGTGACATGACGTGTTTGTTTTTCTTTTCCATTATATACATCTTGAGTTCTAATTATTTTTCAGTAAAATTAGTCGAGACAAAAATCTGTTGTTTTTCACACACACACACACACACACATATATATATATATATATATATATATATATATATATATATATATATGATATTTGTATATTTAAGCAGCAATCCTTCGTTTATATATATATATATATATATATATATATATATATATTGAGAATCAGTTCTCTTCTATGTTGATATCTTTGCTAAGTAATACCATAAATGAGGGAGAAATGACCAAGAACTGTGAGTAAGAGATTCCTTGATAAAAAGCTGACTCCTAAAAGTAAGGCTAGAGGAACATTAAAAAAGTTGTAGTGAGTGGTGAGACAATAAAATGGCTGATCATATATGGAAGTAGTCATCAACCACTGTGAAATGAATTAAAAATACTGGACAAGGAAGAACACTGAACAGTTAGACATATGAAAGAATCAGTATATATGCAAGACTATGAGAAACTCCCTTAGTAGGCATAGCATAGAAATAAATACAATATGGCAGCCAGTATTAAAGAAAAAACTACAAATGAGTTCAACTCTTCAGCAGCAGCAAAGAAACAGGACAAATCAGCAGAAAGTGTAGGTTTAAGTCTCCAAGTTCATTGAAGAGAATTGTCCTACACTACAATAGCTTCGTCTACTAAAACGTTCGTTCATGGAATTTGGTGATTGTAATTGTCAGCTGATCAGTAATTATTTAAACTAAGGACGAGCAATAAAAAATACGAAAAAAATAACAACGAGATGAGATACCGCAGTGGAACGAGAACTCTCTACACCCATAGATTAAATAAAGTAATTATGATATTCAGAATTCAGTGTAAGTTACCCAGTTCGATATATACCTGAGTAAGACTGGAGTCTACAATCGCTGAAGCGTTGTGGTAACAACAATAAAGATGAGGACAACAGTTTTAATATAAATAATGTAAATCATTAATTTAAATCCAAAATCCCGTTGAAACTTTTCACCGACATTATATTATTTATTTTAAAGGACTCTCTGGCATATTGGCAGAGCGCTTGAGTAAGCTAAGCCTAAGAATTAAAAAAAAGAAAATTACATTATATACCGTCAAATGCAATAAATACAGTTAAAAAGATTTAAGCACAATTTTAAATTTAATATACATAAACTGATAACTAAAGAGTTAAAATATTTCCGGACATGATGCCTTGTTTATAACTGAATATCACATTTAAAAAAAAACAAAACTTTATTCTATTACACACACACACAGAGAATTAATATCAATTTAAATTGGTTTATTATTCTAAGTAATAATTGAAATTATTGTAACTTTGAACGGTCGTAATCACCTGTACATTAACGAGTTCAATCCTGGCTGAAGTAGCATTCTCTTGCTGACAATCCATCTTTCAGTTTTAGCATAGCCACTTTCAACAGTTTGTCACTGTGGTTTTCTTTTGTGACATTGAAATAACAACTCAAAATAACAAGCAGCTTCTTGTCCTTTAAGGGTGAGATCAGCTTTATCTTCAGTCAGAACGGTGTTCAAATATTAAGTAGATATGCCAGGTCCCTGGAGATTCCAACTCTCGGACAGAACCTTCCCATTACACTAATAAGAGAGTTATAGCTGATTTTTCACTATTGACGTTTCTTCCCAAATGCTTTTCAAAGTCTTTACACAAAACAAATTTGGCTCATTTTCTTTTAACAAGTGATATTTGTAGATAGCATATGAACCATATTTTATAGCACAGGGTGTGATGAGTAAATTGCCACCATTAAATATATATTTTAATTTCACGCATGCGTGTTTATTGTTCTTTGATTTTGTCGACTGCAAGGTATAGTAGTAGTTCTCTCTTTTGTAACGGCATCCACCCGAGATGGGTTGAGCCGGCTCCAATATTGGAGTTTCATGGGAATTTGGAATTCACAAGCGGTCCCCAACCCGCATGTATAGCACATGAGATTTGATTATAGTGGTGAAGGTTTCGTGCAGGACCATCCACACTTTTTGAAGGGCCGATTACTGAGACCTGGTGCACTACGTGCCACAAGCTCCCCTAACGATCCTCCGCAGGTTTTAAATTCAGAGTTGTCCTTCTCCTAGACCAGTTGCCATCCAAGACTATAGAACCCAGTCTGTCCTGCTATTTACCGATAGATGGAGGGGGAAGAAGAGGATTTACACCTTTCCCAAGGGTATTAGCACATAAGTGACATAAGTGGCACATAAGGGTATAGTAGTGACAATTGGTGACTGTCTGTGTGCGAAAGAGCGCCGTGACGCAATTCACTCCACTAGAAATTTGAAAATGGCATGCTGTACAGCTTGGCATTCGCGCTGGAAGCTGCAATATGAACATTTTAGAGTGTCTGGGTTTCAAACTGAGACAGTGCAGAGGACTCGAAAAGAGTTGGATGAGTCTAATGGTGATTACGGAGTTGTTTCGGGTGCTCACTAGTGATGGCGACGTTATGCCTCCATTCATCTTCTCACATGGTTTCTGACTCAACACGGAGGCCTACATCAAGTGCCTTGAGGAGGTAGTGCCGCCCTGAATCAAATGGATGGCTGCTGGAATATTTATGTCTGACAACAGTACTCTAAACAATGCCACACAAGCAGCAGAACCTAATCATCGCTCTCGGGAAATTTCTGCGACCGTTTCACCCCATTATTTCTAGCCACCTATGTCCCCAGACTACAACTCAGTTTATTATCATATGTGGGGCTCAATTGAGCGAGAGACCAACAAAACTCTTTGCAACACCAAAAGATGAACTGAAGGCAATGATTATGACAGCATTCATCAACTTAAATAAGGAGACCGTCCAGAAGAGTTGCAGGAGATTCCGATGTCATCTGGAGGACATTGTTGAAGCCATTGTCGATTTTCTATTTTTTTTTTTTTTTTTTGAGTAATGTTAATCTTAAGTATTTCAAAATATTTTTGTAATTTTGGTAAATATATCTGTTAGAATGAGATGTCAGTATTAATTTCATTTTTGCATAATTTAGCCGACAATTTATCCATCGCACCCATATATATATGAAGAGCGATGCATTATAAGCAGGAGCAGCTAATGTTTTAAATATTCTCTTTTCTCTATAGTGGTCAATTGGCGAACGAGAGCAAGTCATCTACATACAACGCTGTTTCGCTGCATCACAGCTCATCACAATATATATATATATATATATATATATATATATATATATATATATACAGTGATGTTTAGTTGGGATAATTCCAAGTAGGGTATTAATCGAAAGTGTGTTTAACGTCAAGCCTCTTAAATAAAACCTATTCTAGTTCGTCTGTCTGCCATCCCACACTCTCTCTCTACCCTCCCTATATCTATCTCCGTTTCTCTTCCCCCAATAAACTTTATATTGAAGACTCTGTCTTTCTCCCCCTTTTTTCTTTCTCTCTTTTAATATCAAAACTTATTCCTATCACACATTTTTTCTTTCTGCTTCATTTTTCCTTTGTGTCTGGATGAATGAAACTCCATTTTTCAATGTAATTTGGGTCTGAATGATTGTTAATTTACCCATGAAATAAATTATTACCATTTAATGGATTTTTAATGATTCTATATATATATATACATATATATATATATATATATGTGTGTGTGTGTGTGTGTGTAGTAATGGTTAGAAGGTTGGATTGAGGAATCGGAGAGCCGAGTTCGAATTCCATTACATTCATTTACTTGCTAAAACACGTGGGAATGGTATGAGTATTCATCTTCTCCCTCCAGCTATGGGTTCTATAGCCTGGGATAGCAACTGGTCTAAGAGTAGGCCAACTCTGAGTTCGAAACCTGCGGATGGTTCCTTCACCACTATAATCAATTCTCATGTGCTGCTGTCCTTCTGTTGGTTCCAAGGAACTGATCTGCTTGACCATCATACATCGAATTCGATGAGAGAGTCGTATATATATATATATATATATATATATATATGTGTGTGTGTGTGTGTGTGTGCAAAGATATAGACAAATTGGAAAGAACTATTAGGATAGAAACCCGAAGTTCTTTAATATTTTTGTTTTTATTTTTAAGAAACAGGTCTCAATACATAAGTAGAGTCTAAATAATTATAATATATATATATATATATATATATATATATATATATATATATGTGTGTGTGTGTGTGTGTGTGTGTGTGTGTGTGTATACATATATATGCATACACACGCACCTACACACTCACATATATATACACACACCTACACGCATACATACGCACCTGCACACAAACACACATATATATATATATATATATATATATATATATATATATATATATATATATATGCACACACACATATATGCATACATACATACACACACATTCACACAAACATACATATATATATATATATATATATATCCACCTTCATCCTTGTCGTGCGCCGACGGCTTAGTGGTAGAATCTGCGACTGACACCAATTCAGTGGGGTTTCGTTCCTACTTAGAGGCAACCGGATGTCTAGCCACACTGATGACCTGCGAAACAGTCTGTCTGTGGATGACGCTATATAAATATATATATATACGTACACACGAAAGAAAGATTAAAATTATCAGTTCGATTCTAGGACCTAAAATCAAAGGCTTGGTTAGATTTTGCGTAATGGAGGTGTCGTTAAATTTTCAGCTCCTCCTCACGGCACGCTCTCAAGTGACTTTACTCGTACTAGTTATAAAGTCGATCTCTTACCAGTAACAGAAACAAATCTTATAAGCTGAAACTTGATCGACATATTGTTCGTATAATTATATCCCGAAACCTTTGTCGTTATCGTTTAGTTAATACCAACTTTATCGTAATAACATTGATTTATAACGTCTTACGTTTAACAACATCTGTCATATGCAATTAACATCTAACAATTTTTTGCATTTACATGAATAATATATCGTGTAATGTATAATTTTTTATACTAATGCTCACGCAGACTAAAGTCTCTAGTGACTCTTAAGGTAGTGGGTTACTGAATGATGCGTGTAGTATGAATGTAAAAGGAGATTGTAGGAAGTGAGGATTATGAGGATAAGGAGGATAGATAAATAGTGACCCTTGAAGAATTTAAGATCGAAGCATTCATAGAAGAATTCTTGAGATTTCTGTTCCAAAATTTAGCAGTTTTTAAGAAAAGGTCTGTCTAAGAGGATCTTCTTTCTTACTTTTGGAATACGCAGGAACCGAAAGTGATTCAATTCCGTGGACGCAACGTGTCCTATCTGTAAAGCTCTGAACTGATAGAACTAAAGAACGGTGATCATCTGAATGTTTCAGCTGCCATAGCGATAGGCTTTCTACGTTGCCTTCGTGGGAAGAAGTTGTACAGTGGAGAATAAATTATTACTTACCGAATGTGGAGGCTGGACCAGAATGGCAAACAGCTGGTCAGAAGAACCCGTGGACGTGTGATTCCGGCAATACTGGATTGTTCTTTTCTATGTTTTAAATATAAGATCAAAACGGCGTGAAGAGAACAGTTCGCCGTATTTTTTTTTTTTTAAACAAGCCTCTCGCATCTCGACGTTTTAATGAGGCTAGCCTGCATGTGGAGGCATGTGAAGCCAAGGTGATGGTGGGTGTTCCCCTAACAATCTTTCACCCATTATCTCCGAGAATCGATGCCCTCGCGTCTTTTCGTCTCATATAATGAAGTAAATAAGAAAATAGATTATGGTGCAGTGTTAGGGTCGGAAAGACTGACAATATTGGCGGCAAGGAATGTAAAACATTCCCCACAAGAAGTCGTAAACGATTTTGAACTCTAACAAGGCAATCTGAGGATTAGGCTGCTTCAGCCCAGATATCACAGAAATACTCTTTCTCTGTGTGTGTGTGTGTGTGTGTGTGTGTGTGTTTATTTTTTTGTCTAATCTGACTCTAGTAAAGATAAAGCATACAATAATGATTCAGTTACTGGCGCGATATAAGGAGTTGACTATTTCTTCCGGCCTCTTTGGTAATGGATCGTATATATGAGTCCCACTTGACTTCAGAGATTAGTCTGAATTCCATCAGACGTTCAACGCATAACATGAAGTCCTTTCATTGTTACTTCTTCACTACTGCTATTAATTTAAGTTCTAACTGTAATATTGCAACGTTCTCATTTGAAGACCTTTCAGCTGATCAAGTTTCCTGACATTGGAATAAAGGCGTAATTCCTGACTAGAACTCACTAGTATCACAGATTGGCGTGCCGGCTTCAAATTTCAGCAGAAGCCATTGAAAAAGACTGCATCAATAGCTACCTCATTATTAATAGCAAAACAAAATAACTCTTTAGCCTTACTTGCCTTCTAGTCTAGAAGAGTCAAAAATCTGATTTCAAAACCAATTGTACGTAGAACTTGCAAATCCAGTCCGTACCAAAAAAAAAACGTACTCGTTCCAGAAAACACAGTAGGAACGTCTAGCGTGATGAGGCACTATAATCTAAAGGATAGTCGACATGACCGTTTATACAAGAAACTAGATATCGCACATCTAGTAGTATGCTTGAATGGGTGGGATGATCGCTTGCGATGTTTCGTTCACGAAAGACTAGATCAAAACGAACGGGCTATTTAAATGTAAAACCATCAGGTTCTGGCTGATAGGAAGAGTTTTAACAGAGGACGGAAAATGCGAAACAGAAAACCGAAGGTGCATTGGGATAGCGAAAGACGCCTTCCAAAAGCTAAGCAAAGTATTAAGAAACAGGAAAACTTCGTTAGAAACTAAGATGAGAGCCTTTCTTTTTATGAGTTATGTCCTTTCAGGACGTAGGCGATCATGGCTCTCCACCTCCCTGTATCCCTTGCAGCTCTGAACAAGTTCCTTTCCTCTGCTTCCACGTTCTGTCATCCACTTGCTTAAGTCCGCCAGGTATGTCACGAGTTGTTTTCCCTTTATTCAACCCGTGAGTATCAGATTCTCCAGGCACTCCTTCCTCATTATGTGTTCCAGAAACTTTAGATGCCTCTTCTTGATATTAAGTATAAGCCTCCTCCTTGTTTACAACCTCTTTAAGATCTCATCGTTGCTCGCACGCTCGGTCCATGATATACTTAGCATCCTTCTGTAGAAAGTATAGCCGTCACGCCAAATAGGACCCGCTAGAACAGGACAGTCATCTCTCGTTCAGGGCAGTCGTCTCTTGTACAGGACGGTCGTCGCTCAGCGTCCCCGTCGGCTCCATCGCATCCCACATCGCCAAAGCCTTCAGACACACTCATTTTATAGATCATGCCGAAGCAGCCGATTGGTTGAGTGGAAGAGTTTTACATATGCGTAGGCGTACTTCGCCAATTTTTCTTTCCTTCAACTGCTCTGCGACACCGTGGTTTTTTTTCGGACATGATGTCGAGTATCTTGCTCACGACAATCACTCTCCTCCCTGATCTGAAGATCACACAAATGGCAGCGCGGTTCGGGTCATTTTATCCTGCTACTTCGTCTCAGTGGAGCGGGCTCGGCTATTTCCTCAGTTCTACTTTTTTCTGTCGTATCGCTGAGTTGATTTCATTCGAGAATGCCACTTGCACTTTCCGTGGAATTGTGTCTTCTTGCGTCTGCCCCTCATACATCATAGAGGTTTCTTCATCTGAGCTGGTATCATGGCTGCTGGTAGTGTCCATCCCACGCACCGGGCGAACATCTTTTACATGGCGTGGTACTCCGTCTACAAGGATTGAATGAGGGCCATAGACTTTGGTCACTTTCCCCTTTTCGAACTTTGTTGTACACCGCCCATACGGTCTCTTCACCCACACGACAATCACCTAAAGGGCGGACAAACTCACTGAGTCAACGGCCAGCTAACTAGAGGTGGTATCTCCATAAACCATCGTGTAGAATGCAATGGGAAACCAGTCCATTATCACTCCCAAGAGAAATCATGGTTAACAAGATGAGAGTAATGACGTGTTACGTAAAATCAGTCCTGCTATCTGGGAGATTACGAAGAGATTAATAACTACTCGTTTGAATATATTAATCTATTATGGCAAGAGAACAAAACTAATTGGACCCATTAAGCGAACAACTAGATATCTGGAACGCTTCACTGAAGCAACAAATTTTCAAGTATATTTAGCAATGGGTCGGATATATTCGTTCCACTTAGGGGACTGCGGTGAACTTCAGGCATAGGTATCCCTAATAAGTAAAACATCATTTCTCAACAGATGCACCCTGGCGCAATAATGTACCCACAACAGTGCCCCTGCCAGGCAAACAGCTGTACCCCTGCAGGTACTCAGCTGCGCTCCTGCCATAGACACATCTGTGCCTCTGTCAGGTACCAAGCTGCGACCCAGCATGGTACCCAGGTGCGCTCCTGTCAAGTGCCCAACTGTGCCCTGTCAGGTTTCCAGTTGCAACCCAGCCAAGTGCCCAGCAGCGCCCCTGCCAGGAACCCAGCTATAACACTGCCAGTTACCCAGCTGCAAACCCTGTCAGCTACCCTGCTATGCCCCAGCGAGGTACCCATCTGTGATCCTGCCTAATAGCCAGCTGTGCCCTGCCAGGCATCCAACTGTGCCCCACGTTAACAGAACACCCGGGCGCATCAATGCGATGACAGGTGCGCCCTAAGTTAACAGAAGAGTAATTTATGAATTATTTTTAATTTTAAAACCATCTTTATTTTTAAAAAGTTAGAGACACAAAACACATGGCGTCAATGTCATGTTCCCTTCGTGTTCCATCGGTGAGAAGTAAGTTCCCCTCGAACAGCTCGCAAAACACAGTCCTGTGGAACCAACTCCCAACAGTATGTTTTCCTGACTAGTACTATCTTAATCTGTTAAAGGCTAGGGTGAACCGTTGTCTTCTACTCCTATACACACAAGTGGCCTCTAAACGTAACCCTCTACCTCGATTGGTCCCCGGGCCTTGTACAGGATGAACCTTGCAGTAAGAAAAGAAAAACGTCGTTTTTTTTTACCCCATATTTCTTTCGGAACGTGGACAATCATGACTCTCCACAGATTCCTTTTCTTTATTGTCTGTGAAATGCCATGTTTTCTTGCTAAAGTTAGTGGGGGTGGTTTCCCGTTGCCTTCTCCACGGTTCGAAAGTTTGCCTCTCTTAGATTTGTTGCCATCCGAGTCTGGTGGGTTCAGTTTACAATACTATTTAACCCATAGATGGAGATGGTGATAGGAAAGACGGATTCATGCCTTTTCCAAGGTAAATTGTAAGAAAGTCAATGTGTTAAATAATAGTTGTAGACTATTAATTTTTAGTGGCAATGTATTTAGAAGGTCTGAGCTAAATACATTGCCACTAAAAAATTCAGGGGTCAGCTGGTAGAAAAAAATGGGGATCTCGATTTTGATTGGCTAAGCCGAATGTTAGAAAGTGTTTTCGAGGAGTTAAGTTTTACACGTCGAAGAGATCAGACGTGGTTATTTCGCGTCTCATGGAACTTGCTCCCCAGTGGGGGTTCTAGAGCCACCCCACTGGTTAGTCAATAATATACACGTCGACCTGTTAACAAAAAAGATAAGTTTAAAAATCCCTTTTGTTGAAGTTCTCATTTTTCTTCCGAACAAAAAACTAGCGATGACCCAGCCGAAAGAGAAGAATGCAGTTTTGTTGTGGAATGACCCCCCCACCTCTATCAATCAAAAGAGACCCCCACCCCAGCGCGAAAGGGCTATATAACAAACGCAACTGACTTTTTCTTAGAATTTGAACTCGGGTATCTGATTGCATTTTTCGCGCCGATATTCATTGCGCTACCTGCACATCTTTTTAGTCTTTCTCATGTCTGACTAAAGTGTTTATTTCCCAATCGCTTTCACTGATCAATGATTAAATATGGCTTCGAGCGAATGACGTCTGTGGGGATTGACGCTACAGAATCACAAACCAAGAACTGTACCAAATAACAGAAGCCGCATCCCTTGAGCACCACAGACAACAGCAACAATTAAAATGGACAGCATCTGTAACTTGATGAGAAAATAATAATATAAGTTGTTGACGTTCGACAATGAATATTAAAAAGCTTCTATCTCCATTTCTCGTTTTGTTTTTCTGTGAGTTTTTCTTTTAGATACGTCCAATGGTATGTTCTCAAAAGCAAGAAAAAAATTGTATAAGTATCTTCATTTAATCCCGAAAAAATTAAAAATATATTTGCCACTTTATGAAAAAAGTTATGGTTAGCCGAATTTTGAAGTCAACTATCTCAAAACTACAAGTGCACGCTTATCTACTGTGCTCCTGATAAGTCTTCTTTTGTTCTCGATCCTTAGCAATGATTCTGATTCTAACTCTTCCACACACACTGACACCCTGCTTGTGTCCCAGTGACTTTGCTATCTTGCTTTGGGTGAACTCAATTAAAAAAAAAAAAGAAAAAATAGAAACATTTTAATTTTGAATGACGATGTTAAACAAAATTTAAAAAGAAACCCCCATCACTAATGGAAAAAAATATAACAGTTTTGTAAACTAGAAAGGGTTCCTGTATGAGGAATAAGCAAAACTGATATTGAAAATGAAATGATAATCTTTACAACATCAAAATGCAATACTCGCCAACGGCGTGAAATAGGTAAACCACTGCTCGTTGTGGACTACTTAGACAGCATCTTACACACATTTACAAGTTTCCAGCGTATTAACGAGGATTGGAACATACCCATTAGTGTTCATAGGTACGGTATATAATACTATCTATTATTGTCTGTTCCCTATCTATCTATCTATCTATCTATCTATGTTGTAACCTAGTAAGGGTTACTGAATGAGAAATAACCAAAACGGAGATTGGAAATGAAATGATAATCTTTATAACATCAACAAAATACAATACTCGCCAGCGGCGTGAAATAGGTAAACCACTTCTAGTGGTGGACTACTTGGAAAGCATGTTACCCCCACTTACAATAGTGTCCAGCGTATTTATGAGGATTGGGACATACCCATTAGTGTTCATTGGTACGGTATATAACAAACAGTAATTGAAATTGAAAAATCGTTTCTCCTGAAAAATTGCTTCACTAGAAAGTGTATATTTCTTCAACTGACAGTGGCTGCTCAGTCAAGGAATTGCGAATGTTTCTTTATAAGAAAAAAGCATAATATTACAATTATTATTAGCAGGGAACGTTTAAGATTATTATAAATGTGAAAATCCTTTATTCAAATGACTACTCCCAGACACAATAGATTATCTCAGTGAGGACATCAGTTCAGAACATCAGTCATCAGGGATATATGCATCTAGAATTGCGTTAAGAGAGTTATAGTCCATTTCCAAATCGTTCCCGCCCATTTACGGGGTAATTTATATTTACCGAGCATATTTGCAAGTGAGTCGCTAACTTCGTGACAGTTAACATATCTATTCTTGTCAGTGCTACTTACAAATGTGGGAAAACTCATACATTACTCAACCCGGCTGTTTATTCCGCTATGCAGTGTTATGCATACGTCGTGCACGGATACATTCACATCGAATCCAGTGCTATGGAGCTATTTTACAAATAATACCAGATATATAGACGAAAATAACGTCATCACAGATTAGAAGATTGTACCATCTCTTTTTGGAGCTGCTTTCATGAATTCCACATATAACTTGCTCTGGCCTTGATCTGCACCCGAGCCTTGAAATTACTGGCGTTCTGTCTTTTTCATTGTAGATTCTAAATTCCTAGTACAGCTGTAACTCAACTGTATTGTATTTCTATTAAACACTAGCAGCATGGCCCGGCGTGGCATGTGCTTGATTCAAAAATCGTACAGTAATCGCTATCACTTGACTTAAAATATTTTTGCCCTTCCTTGCCTTTAAATGAGTGCCCTTTGCCGTGCTGATGTTGCTACATGCCTTACTTCTTGCCTATCTCACACTGTGAATTTTTTCTAAGCTCTATACTAAACATTAAATCTGTTACGAAAAAAGAACTAAACAAAATGAACACAAAACGATCAGCTTTAAAAAAAAGACTCGTAACTGGAAAAACCGAATGAAAAAAGAATGTTAAAGAGTTTAGGCAAGCGAATGAGCCAATTGGAGTAAAGTGCCATGCAGATTTAAATTTTTCCCACTTGTGACGAATGCAGCTATCGATTTTTTTTTGCATGCTACCATGCTAGTTAACATTCGTGTCAGTCAGCTGCTGGCTCTCACGCTGGCCAATAGAAACTTCCTGCCTATTCGTGGCAGTCAGCTATTGGCTTTCACTCTGGCCAGTACAAAATGGCTGCAAACTACATGAAAACTGCCGTAGAAGTATGAAAAAATCGATTATTTCCACTATCGATAGGAGTTGAGAAATGCAAAGACGGTTTTGGCCTTCTCGCTAACTTGGAGAATGGGCATGTAAATTTTGGTGCAAATCCGTCGAAAATCGCGGCCGTGCATTCGTTATACACACAC